AACCAAATCCCTACCTGCCCCCCACTCCCCCTCTCCTCTCTCTTTCTCTCTCCATCTCTCTCCCTCTGTCTATCCTGGCTATCTCTGCTCTAAAATCTCTCTTCTCTCCTTAATCTTTGTCCCTCTCTAATCTAATCTAATCTCTCCTGCTGCTCTCGTCTCTAATTCTCACTCTCTCTCGACTCCAATCATTTCTCCTCATCTTCTCTTTTCTCACAACTGAACTCACTCTCGCCTAACACGACAGCCTGCATGCATCTGCCTCTCCTCCTCTCGGCCTCGCTCTCTCCTCTCTCTCCGTCAATCTCTCATGCTCTGCTCTCTCTCTCTCTCTCCCTCTATCTTGCATCCCGGTCGTCGTAATACCCTGGGATCTACTTTAACAAATCTTGAAGCTATGAATCTGAAACTATGATACACTGTTGTGTGCATGACAGGGTACAACAGAGAGGGGGTGCATACCTTAGCGTTCAAGTAGTAAGTATCGGTGGAGTACCCATGTACTATCCCCATGATTGCTGGCAACCAAAACACAAGTGGAGCAAAGGTACTGGAACATGTGTGGCTATGGTATTGAACATTTAAAACAAACAATAAAACTTTAAAAAGTATAACTCACCATCCATCTCTCTCATAGCTCGTGAAAAGTCTTGCGGGTCCTTGAAGCTCACAAAACCGTATCCCTTTGTCTTCTGTGTTCGCTTGTCCCTGACGACCTTGGCTTTCTGGAAGGTTGGATACTTGCTGAACGCCCGTGCCAGTATCTCATCATTTACCTCGTTGCCAAGATCGCCGCAAAATATGCGAAAATCATCTGCAAAAATAGATTTACAGTTACCTTAGAGTAATGCTTCAGTTACTGCAGAGGGATGTGGTGAAAAATGGAGCTCTGACCAAAACAAGGCTCTACGGAGTTTACAAAGTAACCTAATGGAATGCAGCTAAAAGTAACCTAATGGAATGCAGAATTATGGCGGCAGTGCCTTCGACCTTCGCTGCCTGTGAGATCAGATTCGTGACTTTCGCTTCGATTTTTTCAAGTTCTTCTCCTTTCCGTTTCAGTATTTCATTTTCGGTACTTTTTAGTATAGTAACGTTTTAAGCAAGAGTGTCATAATAAAACAGCACCCTACAGGGCAGTGTTTACGATGATACGACTGTGTATATATAGTATATCCATATATATTCACTCTCCGCCACAAGTTCTTCAACAACTTTACAATCGAATCAATCTATACTGCAAGTCAGCGCAAAGATACGTTTGAGAGCTGCCACCATAGACCTTTGTGTATAGAATATGAATATTTACAAGTAGGAATTTTCTTCACCAAGTAGGAATCTTGGGTAACTAGTCAATTAAGCACAATACTACATAAGTTAATAGCACAGTTCTACATCGATTAACAAATCAACTTCCTGTAAAAGGCCACTCCCATGGAAGGAGTGACAACAATTCTCCATGCAGTTTTTTTACATCGAGATTGAATTTTTTTGTACCCGCAATGGTCCAAAATCGTAGTAACATATGAATCGTAATGGCAGAATTATGGACTAAAGTCTTACAAACTCCGCCGAAAACGAAAGGGTTGACAGCTCTGCACAAATGGGAAACCACACAAATAACAAGCTTACGCCACCTACCTGGATCCCATTCCAGCAAGGAATTGTCCTCCCACACCTGACCACCAGCCATGCGCACTATCTTTTTCTCCTTCTTTGTCTTCTGCTGTTTCTGCTTATGTATGAACGCCATCTCGGTTTCCTTCAGCCTACGCTCTAAATCATCACTGATGATGGCATCCCCAGCCGCAGACAACGTTACTGGCGTCGGCGTGAGAGCACCGGATGCTGACACAGATGTCGGCCCTGCTGGTTGGGTTGCTGCTGCTGCCTGTGTTTCAAGTAGTGGCTGCTCTACTAGTGCCTGCAAAATCATAGGTATATATCATCAAATGCAAATAACAATCAATATACATGCTATAACAAAGTTAATATATATTGTTTAATGTTAACACAAGTACATATTGACTTCCTCATCATGCCTGTGTGTAATATGCACTTAAAATTATCATTTTTCAAATAAATGAATAAATTTAGACAAATTTACACCTGTCAGCGTACATATTACTGATTACTTCAGCATAAACATTATTTTGAGTTTCTGCTGTTATAGGCTATAAAACAGTAAATGAACAGCAAACGTGCACCTGCTATGCTGCGATTCCCAAGAATGGAATATTCAAACGCTTTCACAAAACAAGTGCGTGTAGTTATGTGACACAATTATTTATAGACTGGTACCTGTCTTGAAATGTATACAAAGGGAATTAACGTAGTGTAGAGACAGAGTTCTGGTCAATGGCATATTTACAAGTGCAAGTGCAAAACTCATGTGCTCGTTTTTTTGACATATGTAAACAAATCTAATTTGAAATGCAGTTCGGTACACGTTAGTGAAAAGAAGATGGCGTTATGCAAGGAGCAACCACTCAGTACCAGAACGCTTGCGAAAATACGAAAACGGTTGATAAAAACGTGTTAAATCCTCGCTCTAAGGAGCAGGGAATAGCAGAGGTTCAATACGCACTTCCAAAATAGCAGAAATACATGCACCTCCAACGCAAATGTTATTAGATAAAAATGCACAGGCACAGCCCATACAATCTGTTATTTAACTAACCTTTATGATATGACCGCCAAACTATTATTTATAAGGTGTATCTCGATAAGCTTTAACTAACAAGTGCCACAGAGCAACAGCGCTCAACTGACGTGTACTGTAGCCAGGTAGTCTTCTGATAAACTCACTGGCAACCGAATCCAGATGAGACGGGATACTAGAGAAGCGTTGCCGAAAGGAGATGTTGATCCCAATTGCGCTGAAG